ACCTCCTCACCTGTCTGTAGAACCTCCTCACCTGGCTGTAGACCCCTCACCTGGCTGTAGACCCCTCACCTGTCTGTAGACCCCCTCACCTGGCTGTAGACCCCTCACCTGTCTGTAGACCCCCTCACCTGGCTGTAGCCCCCTCACCTGTCTGTAGACCCCCTCACCTGTCTGTAGACCCCCTCACCTGTCTGTAGACCCTCCTCACCTGTCTGTAGACCCCTCACCTGTCTGTAGACCTCCTCACCTGTCTGTAGAACCTCCTCACCTGGCTGTAGACCCCTCACCTCTCTGTAGACCTCCTCACCTGTCTGTAGACCCCCTCACCTGTCTGTAGACCTCCTCACCTGTCTGTAGACCCTCCTCACCTGTCTGCAGACCCCTCACCTGTCTTTAGACCTCCTCACCTGTCTGTAGACCTCCTCACCTATCTGTAGACCCCCCTCACCTGTCTGTAGACCCTCACCTATCTGTAGACCCCCCTCACCTGTCTGTAGACCTCCTCACCTATCTGTAGACCCCCCTCACCTGTCTGTAGACCCTCACCCATCTGTAGACCCTCCTCACCTGTCTGTAGACCCCCCCTCGCCTGTCTGTAGACCCGCCTCACCTGTCTGTAGACCCCCCTCAGCTGTCTGCAGACCCCCCTACACACACACTTTCTCACCTGTCTATAGACCCTCCTCACCTGTCTGTAGACCCCCCTCAGCTGTCTGCAGACCCCCCTACACACACACTTTCTCACCTGTCTGTAGACCCATCACCCGCCTGTAGACCTCCTCACCTGTCTGTAGACCCCCCTCACCTGTCTGTAGACCTGTCTATAGACCCCCCTACACACACTTACTCACCTGTCTATAGACCTCCTCACCTGTCTGTAGACCCCCTACACACACGTTTACTCACCTGTCTATAGACCCCTCACCTGTCTGTAGACCCCCTCACCTGTCTGTAGACCCCCCTACACACACACTTTCTCACCTGTCTGTAGACGCCCTACACCCACTTCTCACCTGTCTGTAGACCCCCCTTACCTGTCTGTAGACCCCCCTCACCTGTCTATAGACTCCCCTACACACACACTTTCTCACCCATCTGTAGACCCTCCTCACCTGTCTGTAGACCCCCTTCGCCTGTCTGTAGACCCGCCTCACCTGTCTGTAGACCCCCCTACACACACACTTTCTCACCTGTCTGTAGACCCCCTACACACACTTTCTCACCCATCTGTAGACCCTCCTCACCTGTCTGTAGACCCCCTTCGCCTGTCTGTAGACCCCCCTACACACACTTTCTCACCCATCTGTAGACCCTCCTCACCTGTCTGTAGACCCCCATCGTCTGTCTGTAGACCCGCCTCACTTGTCTGTAGACCCCCTACACACACTTTCTCACCTGTCTGTAGACCCTCCTCAACTGTCTGTAGACCCCCTAACCTGTCTGTCAACGTCCCTCAGCTGTCTGTAGACCCCCCTACACACACACTTTCTCACCTGTCTTTAGACCCATCACCTGCCTATAGACCTCCTCACCTGTCTGTAGACCTCCTCACCTGTCTGTAGACACCCTACACACACTTTCTCACCTGTCTGTAGACCTCCTCACCTGTCTGTAGACCCCCCTCACCTGTCTGTAGACCCCCCTCACCTGTCTGTAGATTCCCTACACACACTTTCTCACCTGTCTGTAGACCTCCTCACCTGTCTGTAGACCCCCCTCACCTGTCTGTAGACCCCCTACACACACTTTCTCACCTGTCTGTAGACCTCCTCACCTGTCTGTAGACCCCCCTCACCTGTCTGTAGACCCCCTACACACACTTTCTCACCTGTCTGTAGACCTCCTCACCTGTCTGTAGACCCCCCTCACCTGTCTGTAGACCCCCTACACACACTTTCTCACCTGTCTGTAGACCTCCTCACCTGTCTGTAGACCCCCCTCACC